TAAGGGAATGTTTTTACTGTCACAAGCAGGGGCATGTAATTGCAGATTGTTTAACGCTGAAGCGTAAGCAGCAGCAGCAACAACCGTCTAAAAGTGTAGGGTTTGTTAATTCTGTGATGGAGAATACTGATGATATTGCTGGGTTGAGCTGTGTTGATTCGGGTTATAGTCCGTTTGTGCTTAAGGGGTTAATTTCATTGACTGGTAAACCTGAAGATCAACGTGAGATTCAGATGTTGCGTGACACTGGTGCCGCACACTCATTTATGGTAGAAGATACTTTGCCTTTGTCTGAACAGTCATTTTGTGGCTCGAGTATTTTAGTTCAGGGAATCGAAATGGGTTTCGTAAAAGCACCGTTACATCGCGTTCATTTAAAAAGTGACCTTGTAACCGGTTTTGTGTCTGTTGGAGTACGTCCTTCACTGCCCATAAAAGGTGTTTCTTTTATTCTGGGTAATGATTTGGCCGGGGGTAAAGTGATGCCTGTGTTGGAAGTTATGGATCAGCCGAACTTTGTTTCCTGTGATGAGTTATCAGTGAGCTATCCTGATACCTTTCCTGCGTGCGTTTTGACGCGCGCTCAGGCAAAGAGAGTGCATGATGTCGTTGACTTATCCGAATCGTTTATGGTTCCCGTATCTGCTGAAAATGTGTTACCGTCGGAAAATACAAGTTTTTCAAGGGGGCACCTTAACGCGGACCTTTTGAGGTTAGACAATAGTACTTTGAGTGTGCCTATGTCCCGTGAACGGATTATTGTTGCACAGAAGGAGGATGAATCTTTAGCCAAATGTTTTGCCTCTGTAGTCTCTCCAGACCAGATCCGTCAGGAGAAGGTAATCTATTTTGTGGAAGATAATTTGTTGATGCGTAAATGGTGTCCAAATTCCGAAAATGAAAGTGAATGGAATGTAGTGTGTCAGATTGTCATTCCATCCTGTTATCGTCAGCACGTGTTGTGTTTGGCGCATGATCATGTGCTGTCAGGTCATCTGGGCATCACTAAGACTTATAATAGGATTTTGAAACATTTCTTCTGGCCTGGGTTAAAGCGGGATGTTGTGCGATTCTGTCGCACTTGTGATACCTGCCAGCGCATGGGGAAACCCAATCAAGTAATTCCCCCTGCTCCGCTCTGTCCTATTCCTGTGATGGGAGAACCCTTTGAACATGTAATTATCGACTGTGTTGGGCCATTACCAAAATCAAAGTCGGGTAATTTATTTTTGTTAACGATCATGTGCACAGCTACTCGATTTCCTGAGGCGATACCACTTCGAAAAATTACTGCTTCTGCTATCATCAAAGCACTGATTAAGTTTTTCGCTACGTTCGGGTTACCGAAAATCATACAAACAGATCAGGGAACGAACTTTATGTCCAAGATTTTTAATCAGGTCTTGCAATCACTTTCCATCACTCATAGCGTGGCAAGCGCATACCATCCAGAGAGTCAGGGTTCACTTGAACGATTTCATCAGACGCTTAAGTCAATGTTGGGGAAATACTGCAAGGACACTGGGAAAGATTGGGATGAGGGAGTTCCTTTGATGCTGTTTGCGGTTCGTGAGACTGTCCAGGAGTCGCTCGGATTCAGTCCCGCGGAGCTTGTCTTTGGACATAATGTTAGGGGTCCACTTAAGCTCTTAAAAGAAAACTTATTGGGAGTTGAAGTAAGTCCTAAGACTAATGTGCTGAATTATGTCAGTCGTTTCAGAGAGCGTTTGCATAACGCGTGGGCACAGGCCAAAGAGTCACTAACAGCCGCACAAAAGGATATGAAACGTCGGTATGACATCAAAGCCGTTCCTCGTTCTTTTAATGCCGGTGACCAAGTGCTCGTATTACTGCCCACTTCAGGATCAGCTTTGTCTGCCCGTTTCTCCGGTCCCTATGTGTTGACAAAGAAATTGAGTGAGACCGACTATGTAGTTTCTACTCCTGATAGGACACGCAAGACACGGGTCTGTCATATTAATATGTTGAAAGCATATCATGGTAGGGAGGGATCTTCGGAGAAAACTGAGGGAAAATCTGTACCTGTGGCTTCGTCTGTGGCAGTAGCCGTCGAGGTTTCATCTTCAGTAGAAACAGGGGCAGATGAAGATGGTCTCGTGCTGCGTAATGCTCCACAGCAGAGTACTAGACTAAGAAACTCAGAATTGTTGAAGACGTTGCCTTCTTATTTAGTGCATCTATCCGATGATCAGAGACAGGATGTTATTCAGTTGATTGAGAAATTTCCTACTCTTTTCAACGATACGCCTTCTAGAACTTCGGTGTTACAACACGATATAGATGTTAAAGATTCTCCCCCTATCAAACAACATGCTTACCGGGTTAATGCGTACAAGCGAGCTATCATGAGAGAAGAAGTTGACTATTTAACCGCAAATGATTTAGCTGTTCCTAGCTACAGTCCGTGGAGTTCGCCGTGTGTACTCGTTCCTAAATCAGATGGAACTTTCCGTTTTTGCACGGATTATCGGAAGGTGAACGCGGTTACGAGGCCAGATTGCTATCCCCTTCCTCGGATGGAGGATTGCATTGATAATATTGGTTCTGCACGCTTTGTTACTAAATTAGATCTACTAAAAGGCTATTGGCAAGTGCCTTTAACTAGTCGTGCATCGCAAATCTCCGCATTCGTGACACCTGATCACCTTATGGAATATAAAGTTATGGCGTTCGGTTTGCGGAACGCACCCGCAACCTTTCAAAGGTTGGTGAACTTAGTGTTGGCGGGTGTGCCAAATTGTAATGCGTACTTGGATGATTTGGTCGTATACTCTTCAGAATGGTCAGAACATCTATCCTTGCTGCACACTGTCTTTGAACGACTGGAAAAAGCTACGTTAACCCTGAATCTAGCCAAATGCGAATTTGCCCGAGCAACGGTGACGTATCTTGGTAAGGAGGTTGGTCAGGGGCAGGTTCGACCTGTAGCCGCTAAGGTTTCTGCTATCAATGAATTCTCCATTCCCACAACCAGACGCGAATTACGCCGGTTTTGGGAATGGCAGGATATTATCGTGGTTTTTGTCGAAACTTTTCCAGTGTGGTGCATCCACTCACGAGTCTACTGAGTCCGTCTAGAGCTTTTGTTTGGTCACCTGAGTGCCAACATTCGTTTGATAGTGTAAAAGCTTTGCTGTGTAGTACTCCTGTCTTGGCAGCTCCGGATTTTGCTTTGCCTTTTAAACTTAAGGTCGACGCAAGTGCTGTAGGTGCTGGTGCAGTACTCCTTCAAGAGGATAAAAACCACGTTGAACATCCTGTGTGTTATTTCTCTCGAAAATTTAATAAACATCAGTGTAATTATTCGACCATTGAGAAGGAGGCTCTGGCATTACTGTTGGCATTGCAATACTTTGAGGTTTACATCGGCTCTAGTCCTCTCCCGGTTATCGTTTACACGGACCATAATCCGTTAGTGTTTCTTTCCCGCATGTACAACCAGAATCAGCGACTCATGCGCTGGTCTCTGATTGTGCAAAATTATAATTTGGAAATCCGTCACAAGAAAGGAACAGAAAATGTTGTAGCCGATGCCCTTTCTAGGTGTGCTTAGTTCTTGACTTGGCTAGGTTCAGGTATGTATAAAAAAATAGGTGACCTGAGCCTACTTGTTTTTTTTGTTTTTTTTATTTGTCTTGATTGTAACAAACTAATCATTTCATCATTATAAGTTTGTTCTTATGGAGGGGGATGTTACGTTCCCGTATCGCGTGTGTGTTCTTGTGTTTTTCTTTCCCGCTTTCTCTCTCTCTCGGTTACTTTCACTTTTGTAGGTACCCGTGATTGGCCAATTGACCTGTCAATCATCGTTGGCGCTGACGTCACTTCTTTTCGCCATCGCCAATAGGAACAGGCCACCTGGGGAATAAGAGTGCACGCCAGACGTCTCCACGGAAGCTCTCGGCTCGCTGAGACTCAAACCACGCTGCTCTCTGTTACTGTTGCGCTGCTCCTTTGTATACCCTGTTGAGGTTATGGTTCTCGTTCACTCGGTGTGATGTTAAGTAGTATGAGTGAATGCTCCCTGTGTGACTCTCTGATTTTATGTGACCTGCTCTACAGAGCTCAGTAGGTTACTAGTATGGAGAAGAGATAGACAGATAGCATGTCACGTGACATACACTGCACCACGCAGGGGTTTTCGATTCTGTTTAGTACACTAGGGTAGGGGCGAGCGCCACACTTTGTATTTCTGCTTCTGTTAGTTAGTGGAGACTAGATAGGGCGTCCTGGACGCTGAAGATTATTATTTTCTTCTTTATTTTCTTAGTTAGGATTAGAGGTTATTTAACAGCTAGACTTCATTTGGTTTTGTTCTTTTCTTTTCTTTGGCGCCGTCCACGTCTATCTTTTCTTCTTATTAACTTTATCCACCTTACAGAAATTCTGTATAACATGTCCATTTTTACATTTATGTTAATCTATATTCGTATAGATTAAATTCTTTTCACTTTTGCCACTGACCTTATTTGTTAAATAAAGGTTTTGGCTTTTTGCACAGTAAATCTGGTTGTAGAGTGTTTTTTGTACAACTCATGGTTTATGTAGGTTTCTCTTTAATGTCATCTTTAAAATGTTGGACTCCCGAACCCCTGGACTAACTCGGGGGTCGTAACACTGACTAATATTATGCGTTGTGTTATATATTGTTGTCAATTGAAAATATAGTTTTATTACTAGTATGAGCACAGACTCAATTCAGTACCCGGCCGAGTGTTTGACTGACAGTCACTCTGTGAAGATCTGGACATAACCTCATTACCTCTATATGAAGAGTTCAGATGCAAAAGCCTCTAAGTGCCATTTGAAATTTTCTTCTAGAATGATCATTTTTATCAAGCTTGTATATTTAAGTTAAGTGATTTCACTTAAATTGCAATGATAATTACCTATTCATTGTTATTTAAGTGAAGAAAATGAACTTAAATATACAAGTTTGATAAAAATCATCATTAAAGAAGAAAATTTCAAATGGCATTTAGAGGCTTTTGCATCTGAACTCTTCATATAATGAAAATCAAAGCACTCTAATGTATTGCTGCCAACACATTTCTTTGTTTCTTATTTTATAGCTAATTAACAGTTTGTATTTCTCAAGCAACGTTTACATAATAATAAATAAAAAAATAAGATATATAGTTTGATTACATTTTTAATGTATTTTTTAAATGACTTAACTGAATTAGAGTAAATTAGTTTGAATTTGAATTAGTTGAGATGCTGTTGAGGGTGATATTTCAGTATTGTGCCTAATAGTGTAATCTTGGTATTGTGGCACTATCTAAATAATAAAATAAATAAAAGTTTGTAGACCAACTTTGATGATGGCTTGAGAAAGCATAGCAGGGACATTATAAGAAGTTTTAAGGTTTTCAGTTTAAAGGTTATATGTTTTAAATAGTTTTAAGTTTTAGTTTAGTATAGTTCTATGAGCGATCTAGAATTTTGGGTAGAAAATATTAGATACAACGGAAGCTTAAATTTAATTTATGGCTTATAATATTACACAGAACGGCAGCTTAATTGAGTCTAAAGGGTTTCTGGCAGTTTAAATGAGACTTTTGAACATTCAGTCAATTGAACAACATAGGGATTATATTAAAGTTTTGATGGTAATATGTTGAATCTCATAAGTTCATATAGAAAAGTAGGAGAGTTAGGGAGAAGAAGAAGAAGAAGAAGAAGAAGAAGAAGAAGAAGAAGAAGAAGAAATGAGTAGATCAGAATGTTGATTACTATGGTCTCTACGTGGTGTCTCAATGACAGCCTCGGTCACAGACGGATAAGAGGAATTGCCATCAATCTTCAAGTCATTTCTGTAATAAAACAGATTGACAGAAGGTAAAAGAAAGGAATAGGACTAATGATTCATTGACACAAATACAATGATACAAAAGACTTGAATTTTTTTTTTCTTCTGATATCCAAGTAACACATGTTTTTTTGTGTTGTTTTTTTACAAAAAAAAAAAAAAACCTGTCTTAACCTTCTTCCTTCCCTCGCACTTTGTAACATATCTTTCCCTTGTGGGTCAAAATACCCCAAGTAATTTTTTTTTTTTTTTGAATTTTCAATTTTTTATATATATATTTTGTTATTTTTTTTACCTTTAAATAAACAATAAATAATGCATAAATAGCAATTTAAGCACACTCCTCACATCGAGTTAAATTCCATAACCATTTGAATTCAGGTCAAAATCTCTTACATTGGGCCTCTTTGCCAATCTCTAGTGGAAAAATAATAATATAACATGATATTTCATACTCTAGCCACTAAATAGCCTTATAGCTCTTTGCAGCAAATGAGCTGTTCTGCTGGGTCCTAATGTCAGTTTCTCTTCAGTATGCATTAAGCTAGTAGATAGTAGACATTATAAAATACATTTTTGGTAAATCTTTTGAATTTTTTGTTAGAATTTTGAGCATTTTTAGGTTTTTCTATGTGTACTGAAGCATTCCTCACATTCCAGTAATTCATAAGGTTGTCAAACTGACTCGTGAGGGAAGGATTCGTTACTTTCACAAAACTTCTCAAATCCATTTTTTTTTTTTTTGTATTCATGGTTCAAGTGAGACAAAAATATTCTTAGTTTCAGAACTCAAAAATTCCTCCGCACAGCAAAAAATAGCTTTTGTTGAAACCATCTTCATAAACACCATACACATCTAGAATGCTTGAACTATCATACTGGTGAATATGAATAATACAGTACTGGTGCTCTTACATACTCTCTTAATAAAGTTGCATATTCACTGCACGTGCGTGCGTGTGTGAGCAAGACACCTAACCCCAGCTGGATGGCACCTTGCATGGCTGACACTGCCGTCGGTGTATGAGTGAGTGATTGAATGGGTGAATGTGAGGCAAAAATGTAAAGCGCTTTGGTGGCCATTGGGTCTGTGAAAGCGCTATATAAATGCAGTCCATTTACCATTTACCACGAAGTTGCGCTTTTTGTTTTCATATATTTTTTGTCATTTAGTTTATTTGGGAGTTTATTTGTAAGAAACATTTATAATTACACCGTGATCATAGACTAGAGTTGAAACAGCCTCTATGGCAAATAAACAGAATTATAAAAATATAATGACAGCAATAAAAATTACTTTAATTTTATAATAACAAACTGTATTCACGTATTTATTTTTATTGTATTGTAAAACAGTATGGGAGCAGTGAAGTCTTGAAGTGTCAGTTATGAACTGGTGTTTCTATACAATGATTTCTGAGTGAAGCTACATAAAACACTCAAACATGTTACAAACTCACAGATCTGAATCAGTTTTCTACAGGGAGATTCAGTGCTCATACTGTATATCTTACCTCAGAAGGGGGATCCATACTGTTGCCTGCACACAATATATTGGTTAGTAAGAATAAAAATGTTTATTTTTAAAGATTTAAATTTTCAAACAATAAATATCACATTTTCATCTTGTTAAATCAACTGAATGTAATACTCACGTCTGTAAATCACAGCAGCAGCAGCAGCAGCAGCAGCAGCAGCAAGCAGCAGAACACTAAGAACAACAGCGACGGGGACAGCGACAGCATGTGTCCCTGCTACAACAGCTGAAGACAGACCGTCATTATTACTTACAGAGTGACTAACAACTTTACCAAAATATAAGTCTGCTACTTTGGTCATCATTTGCATCACATTGAATTAACTTCCTGTCTGTGTCTCACTCCACTGCTGTGTGGCAACCGAACCTAATCTTGCAATAATAAATACTTCTCTTTTTTTATTAATTTGACTGATTTTCATGTTAATTGGATTAAATTATCGCAATTATATTTTAATATTGGATTCAAGTCATTATTTCAAAGAGACCACAATGAAAACATTTACTGGGTTGATTAAAGTGACTTAGCTATACTCACCAGTGACAGTAACACTGAAGTTCTTCATGATGCTGAATCTGATGTTGCTGATCTGTAGTGTATATTCTCCAGAGTGTGTGTTTGTGGTGTTTGTGATGGTCAGAGATCCAGTCTGATGAACCAGCTTCAGTCTGTCTCTGAATCTCTCTTTACACTGATCATCTGTACAGATCTGACTCTGATCTCCAGTGTTTTCAGCGATGAGAGTTTCATTAAAATACCACATAATCGAATTATTTGTTTTTTGTATTTCACCAGGATCTAAAGTGACAGACTCTCCCTCCTTCACTGACTTCCTCTTCATTTTATCTCGTTCTGAAGCAAGAACATCTGAAACACAAACCAACAGCTGATTGTAGATCTACACTACATCAAGAACTGTGGATATAAAAATGTACTTATCTTTACTTTCAGCCAATTTCCCATTTGTTGACCTTTAGTGTTTATAAAACACAATTTGCACAATTTTCGGACTTCGACAGAAAACAGGAAGAAAATGAAGTCGGACAAAAACTACGATAAAACCTGTTGGAAAGCATCTTTGGCAGCGATTTTTGTGTGAGCATATCAGTGAACACCCCAGACCACTCGGTGAGTTTCACGTCTTTGTAAACTAAAGTTTTATGCGTTTTTATGAATGATTGTTCGAGTGCACCTACGCTACCATTGTAAAGGTGGGGGGTGGGGGGGGCGGTGACAGGAGCATCTGTCTAAAAAACCATCTTAACTATTCTATTTCATCAGGGACGATCTTAAAACAGGGCTTTAATTGTAAAATACCGAACTTGTCCTTTAAAGTTACAGTTCTTGTTTTTGAACTTCGCAACTTACCACGAACAGAAATTTGGAATTTCTTCATGATGGTGGTCCTGCTGTTGATGATGGCTAGTTTATAGAGTCCAGAGTGTGTGTTTGTGATGTTCATGATGGTCAGAGATCCAGTCTGATGATCCAGCTTCAGTCTGTCTCTGAATCTCTCTTTACACTGATCAACAGTACAGATATTACGGAGACCTCCACTGATTTGAGTGATGCGCATTTCATTAAAATACCATATAATATTTTTTTGTTGGTTTGATTGAACGTTAGTGTTTAGAGTGACTGAATCTCCCTCCATAACAGACACTGACACTTCATCTGTATCAACACCAGACACATCTGAAGAAGAAATGAACAGTTCATTATACGCCAAACAAAATTACAAACAGGAAAGTGCTGTGGAAATGTTTTCTACAGATCAAAAAGATTGTAAATAAAGAATTATGTCTGGATTCATAATGTAACATGCAAACAAAGAGCAGACGAACTTAGTTGATTTACACATTCACTCATCAGACAAACACACATATTCAGTCTCAATGATGCTCTTATACATGATGACTTCTTATAGTGGATTGACTGATGAGATCAAGAATGTATATTTAATGAGTCAATACTATTATACTCACTTGCGACAGTAGCAATGAACCTCTTCTTGATGGTGCTTCTGCTGTTGATGATCTGTAGTTGATAGAGTCCAGAGTCTGTGGATCTGGTGTTTGTGATGGTCAGAGATCCAGTCTGAGGATCCAGCTTCAGTCTGTCTCTGAATCTCTCAGTGCCTTCATTACACTGAACATCTGTACAGGTAAAACTGTGATCTACAGTGATTTGAGCTATACGAATGTTATTGAAATACCATTTAATCTTCTCTTGTTGGTTTGCTTGAACACCAGTGTATAGAGTGACTGAATCTCCCTCCATCAGTGGCACTGCATCTTTATCTACACCAGACAAACCTGAAGAAGAAGGATATGATTATGAAGAATATGAAAAGCTACTGAACTAAATCATCCAAGGTATTATCACATAATTATTTTTGGTTGATATTGCACACCCCAAAATGTAGCAAATGCAAACAGACAGCAGAAGAACATCATTAATTAACATGTAGGGGCAGATACAAGCTCACACATCATTAATATGCTGACATAATTCACTCATCACCGACACACATGTATATTGGACATGTCCCCTGAAAGAAGACGTTCATGAGAGTTTGGGGGTGGGTTAATGCACGTTTTTCTGACGCATGAGTTCATTAAAAAACACAACTGTTGTTGTTCTGACACTGCAATCCTGCCTCTGTGTATTTTGATAACACAAATGCTACAAACAGATTCACTCATCAGACAAACATACATGAGTCTACTGAATGGTCTAGGCCGGGTGCTTTCACACCTGCCACATTTAGGGTGTATTCACACCTGCCTTGTTTGGTTCGATTGAATCGAACTCTAGTTCGTTTGCCCCCTTGGTGCGGACCTTTTGGGCAGGTGTGAATACAGCAATCGAACTCGGGTGCGGACCAAACAACCGAACCGAGACCCAGCTGAAGAGGTGGTCTCGGTACGGTTCCAAACGAACTCTGGTACGGTTCGTTTACGGTGTGAACATGAACCGACCCAATTGCAAGAAAGCACTGCGTCGAAAGAGAATATTGCGCGTCTTTCTGCACGTCTTTCTGCGCGTCGTGTGTGAATGTCTAATCGCGCAAAGATGCAAAAAAAAATAAATATCATTTGCAGTTCGAGCCCGTTCACATCCAACGCACATGGCACCCTTTAACGTGAAATGAGACGCAGATATATTTGGGCAGAAGGCGCCCCCTAGTGGTCTAACCCTTACCCAACACCATACCTAAACTTAACCATTAACCGAAGCGTCTCGTTAAAGGGTGCCATGTGCGTTGGATATTTACGCTTTTGCAAAAGCGTCCTATATGGCGCTTTGGGATGAGAACGCGTTGGAAATTCACCACCTTTTGGTGGTGGTTGACGAGTTTCCCCCTTAAAGCGAGTGCCTAGAAAAATTCTATAAATGTAATGAATTATTATAATTATTAATGTAAGGATAGTTACAATACAAGGATGATGATGCGTTAATTTACGTTAAACTGGACAAACTTAATCGCAAGCGTTAACATTGACAGCACTTGTTAGTACACAATAAGAATCTCATAATTTGAATGAGTGAACAGCCCCTCTCTATGAATGAAAACTTACCTTCTCCGTCTTCTGTGCAGTGCCACTTGTAACGCAAAGTTGAGATGTTGCCCATAGATAAAAAAAAAACAGAAGGTGGTCGAATGAAAAGATGCACGAGAGACGAGAGTTGTCGTATTTCCCCGCGTTTATAGAGCCACTCAAACGTTACACTCGTCGTCTTCTCAAAATCCGAATTACAACTTCGTATAGATGACATTGTATCATATGATACTCATTAGTTTCTTCATATTGCGTTTGTACAGAATTAACACAAAATTAGTAAAAGAACAAATATTGCAGTATGAAATATATGGAAATATCTCCATGCTGAGCCTTTTTTGCACTTCCTGATTTCCCTTGAGAATCCTTGTCCAATGAATGGACGACCTTAGCACACGTGTGGTTTGGTTTACAAATTTTGGTTCACTTGCAAAAAGAGCAGTGTGAAAGCGAACCGTACCAAAAAAAATAATAATAATAATTTATTTGGTCCGGACCAAAGCAAGTGAACTATCGGACTTTCCTGGTGTGAATACACCCTTAGTTCGTTTGAATCGCACTAGAGTTCGTTTTCCCTCTTGGTGCGGTTCGTTTGGGTAGGTGTGAAAGCAGCAATCGCACTCGGGTACGCACCAAAAGCGGACCAAACAAGCGTACCGAGGCGAGACCTCCTCGAAGAGGTGGTCTCGGTACGCTTTCAAGCGAACTCTGGATCGGTTCGTTTGTGGTGAGAACGTGATCCGACCTCGAACAGACCCAACTGCCAAATAACAGCGCATTTTTGGACTAAACCAGCTGCCGTAGTAAAACAAAATGATTATTTATATAGCCAATATCGCTCCCTTTAAGCCATGACTGACTTACCGCGTTCTGCACTCTCACTAAAACACTCATCATAAACACTGAAGTTGTTTGCACAGGGAATCAATTTGGCCAATAATGGCAGACAGGAAACAAGGAGCTGGCTGAAGTTCAGGAAGTAGTGCAGCTGGGCATAAAGCCAATTCATGAATATCCAAAGGTCAATCATATTAATAACTGTTATGTGTCCGACGTTGTAGAGTAATCCATAAAACGCATTACCATTCTGATACATCGACTTGCAGAGGAGCCTGTATAATACTCTATTCCACTACTTCTTCTGTTAAAACATATGCCTGAATTAAACCTGTATTTCCACTTGCCATTGTGCAGCGTTTACTAGAACAGTTAGTTAATTATTAGTAAAGTATAGTTTATTAGTAAAGTTAAGCTTGTGGATCTCTGCAAGTGGTGCTCGCTGTAGAGTCAAATAACGCCTAGCGATCTGATACTAATTAAAGGCATGAATGTTTTTTTTTTTTGTTGTTGTTGTTGTACATAGTACAAAACAGTTTGTCAATCAAAAAAACATTACTGACTACAGAGGGACTTTTAAAAATACCTACTTACCACGAACAACAATAGAGTAGGGTTCTCCAGTGCCATGAATTCTGCTGGAGATCCATACATCATAAAGTCCAGAGTCTGTGGTTCTGGTGTTCATGATGGTCAGAGATCCAGTCTGATGATCCAGCTTCAGTCTGTCTCTGAATCTCTCTTTACACTGAACATCTGTACAGATCTTGCTCTGATCTCCAGTGATTTCAGCGATGCTAATGTTCTTAAAATACCATATCATTTCTCCATGTTTTTTTCTTTCTGTATGATATTTTAGAGTGACTGAATCTCCCTCCATCACGGACACTGGCTCTCTATATGCTGCACCACATAAAACACCTGAAGAAGAAATAAACAGAACCCAAACAACGACACAAAAATCACGTTCACATTCATTATTAATTTTGATAGTTGACCAGAAGAGACTGTAACAAATATACTTTAGAATGGTCAAACAAAACACACACAGGCCTAATTTACGTCGAATATGAAATTAACTTTTTGTTAGACGTTGGTTCATCGACGTTCATCAATTAACGTTAAATTGACGTTCGTTCATCGTTCTCCTAAAGAGACCAAACTAATCATAACTTACAAATGTCTTACCGCACAGAAGTAAATAAATGCGAAACCAGCGCATATTTGAGACAATCAAGATTTCCACAATGTTTGCCTGAACTGACAGCAGATTCGGTGATGGAAAAAGTGCTGTTTCACCATTGAAACTGAAACTAGCCTAGCCTGATGTGATGATTCCAACGCTCTGTTTGTAGAGATGGGTGGTTAGGCTTGTTTGAGCCCTGCCCTGCAATGAAGAGAAGAGATGAGAGGAGAGAAAAAAGTGCCGCAAAGAAGAACGTGCACTCTCTCGAAATAAACATAAATCAGATATCACAATCGGACCTCACGCTCATGCGCAGTGTTGCTGCTCGCTGGACATCACTGGTTCTGTTGTTTTAAGACGTACGACATCCAAATCATTTGCTATTTTATTCCATTCGAAATGCGTGTTTCCATTATTTTCTACTTTAATATAAGCATGTTTTTTTGTGTTTTTTTAAGATTTTTTTTATTTATTTAGAAATATGACAGTTAAAAGAAACAGACATAGCACTGGCAGAAAATTTAGTAATGGTCACACTTTTATTTTGGTCACACAATTTATTTCGCACAAAAAAAAAAAAAAAAAAAAACATTATGGGGTGAATTGGGGCATAAGGACTGGGACAGTAAGTATACAGAGTGTATTTTCTCACCTAATGAGTAAAAATAAAAAAACTTTTTTTGTTTTTTTTTTGTTGCTGAGCCCTTGCTGTGAGATTACTGGCCTGAAATACATGAACTGAGGAAAATGACATCAGCTTTCGGTGATTTCATAATAAGGTCCTAAAATGGTCGTACTATATTGTACAAACTTTTGATTGAAACACAAATATGATGCACTACTGATAGAAAAGAAAAAAAGTTATAAGTTATATTTTTTTCTATTTTCAGTATAGGTTTTTATTTTGTCCTGATAGAATGATTTTGGGTGATTAGGACAGTGCTTAAAGGCTTTTGCCAATTACGGAAATGGATAACCTCGCAATAGAGAACCACCATTGTTTATGCTCGTATGCTCTAAATCAGTGGTTCCCAACCTCTTTATTTGTGTAAGCCCTAATCAATAACAAAAATATTCATGAACTAGCTAGATTTTGCTCAAATAAAATGGTTTTCAAGCATGAAAACCTGTTCTAGAAGAGCCCAGAAACAAAATCAAGATTTGTGAAAGGGAATAATATGGCTTCTTTAAACGTAATGAGTTAAATCCAGATATATTGCTGACTGAATTTGATGGGGAAATATTTGAAGCACAAATCCTGGCTGCGGATGAGAGGATGTGATGTGAAGTTGCTCAGCCTAAAATGATACTTGATCATATTTAAAATATGATAAGTGTGTTTCTTTAGTTTTTCTCCGTGTCAAACAATAGCCTATGTCTGATCATGGTTTATTGTTTCCATAGTTTAAAAAAGTCAAAAGCTAGTAGCAGGTCGGGAAGAAGCTCTTCACCTTTAAACACACCTGATCTGAATGCTCACTTTCACCCACAAGATGTTTGTCCCCGACAGATCATGTTTCTCTGAAACCTATGTGCAGGTTTCAGTTTGACTCAGAAGATGAACGTCACATGGCATATGGTTTTAATTGTGTGCTTTGGTGTTTCCATACACTAAAACTATAAATATATTCCAGCATTTTAAAATCGATAGAGTCTGGATCCATTTTACTATGACATGTAGTACTACAAACCTTAAAAAAAGCAAAATAACAATCAATGTCAAAAAATTATAAATGTTTTACACCTTCATGAACGGTTAACACACACACACATATTTTAAACACATTCATGTTCAGAGCATCAAACGTTGTCAGAGGGAGGATTCACAAACCAGAAGAACAGCTCGAGTGTTTTCATCGGATATGGTCTTTAGATCAGATTGTTCAGTGAACCGTTGAATAAATGATTCACATGTTTGTTTTGTTCTGTGTGTGCTGGTGGACACTGATCGGTAAGTTATAAAAGCATTTTATAATATATTTACGGCTTCATTTCTTTCTGTATCAGGATAATAAAGAGATATCGCTTTCATCAGCAGAGTCAAAAAATCACAAAGTTTTTAATTGGATTTTCTGCACTTTCTATTGTGATTGTAAATTTGTCTAGATTTCCTAAACCATTGACCTGCTTGCAAATCACAGGCGTCTTTTGTCATAATATCTTAAGATCAAGAATTAAAGTGCAATTTTATACAACAATTTCTAAGAAATATTTTTTTAAAAATGATTTAGCTTATACTACAAAGTGGAAGTTTGGATAAAAAGTGTGGAAAAACTGACTAAATCAAATAATGAATCAGATGCAGTGAGCCTGTTTTGTCCAATGATCTATTAGAATAAATTAAGATGTAATTATCATCATGTATTTATTCTTTAAAAACTTTACACTTTGATTTTACTCCACTGCAGATAAGTTTAAAATAAAAGAAATATTTAATTCAGTGAATAGAATAAAATCTAGCTGATTTCAGGCTTTATAAAAAGATTTAATACGTCCATATTCATTTTCTTTTAGGTGTGTCCGGTGCCGAAACAAATGAAATTCAGTCAGTGTCAGTGATGGAGGGAGATTCTGTCACTCTACAGTCTGATGTTAGATTAGCCCTACATAAAGATCAAGACCTTGTGTGGAAATTTAGAAATGAAACATCTTTCATAGCTAAAATTAATAATAAGAAGCAAATCTTTTTCACATCTGATGGTCCTGATGGGAGATTCAGAGACAGACTGAAGCTGGACGATCAAACTGGATCTCTGACCATCACAAACACCACAACTGAACACACTGGAGTTTATAGACTAGAGATAAGTGGAGCGAAACTGACATCAAAAACATTCAGTGTTTCGGTCTATGGTGAGTAGAGATCATTTATCCAAACATTCACATGTTAGTTTTATAAATTTACTCTAAACTCATTACATTAAAGTAAAAATAAGAACGCTGATTTGTTCCTATTTCTTTCACGTTATCCAGCTCGTCTGCCTGTTCCCGTCATCAGTAGAAACTGTTCATCATCATCATCATCAAATTGTTCATTGGTGTGTTCATCATCAGTGTTGAGTGTGTGTGATGTGACTCTGTCCTGGTACGCAGGAATGAGTGTATTGTCCAGCATCAGTGTGTGTGATCTCAGCATCAGTCTCTCTCTACCTCTGGAGGTGGAATATCAGGATAAAAACACCTACAGCTGTGTGCTGAACAATCCCATCAGCAACCAGACCACACATCTGGACATCAACACACTCTGCAGACACACATGTGCAGGTACACCACCACTCATCAGATATGTGTGTGTTTACTGACCTGATCCCGGGACTCATTCTTTCTGTATCATTACAGCGGACACACACTCTCCAGTGTCTCTGATAGTGTTGATCTCTTCTGCTGCTGCTGGATCTCTGATGATTGTAGTTATGGTCGTGATCTGCAAGAAACATAGAAAAACTGTTCGTGAAGGCAAGCGTTTTAACTACAACTTTTAAAAAAGTAATATGAAAGAATACTCTAATATTAAAATTTTCTTACAATTATTTTCAAAACTTTCATAATTAATGTCACATGGGCCTAGTTCCTTTTTATTAGAAGAAATGAAATTCATGTGTGCTCTTGGGTTTGGCACCTAAACTGAAATATGTATTCATGTCATGTCACTATACTGCACTCTTTACTCGTCTCACTCACACAAACGGCATTAAAACACACTTCAAATGCAAACACAGAAGTTCATTTCTACATTATTTCAAGGATTTTTTTTTCTATTTATGAACCATCTTGCATGTGTTTAAGGTTTTAGTCTGTTCCTGGTGTTCAATAAACTTTTTTCCCCCCATTATTTTTGAGCTTTAATTAAAATGATATGAAAATAATTTCTAAATATAAATATTGCGTACTCTGATGACTTTTTTATGACTGTTTAAAACTGAAAATTGAAAAAAAAAATGCTGTATTAAATATTTTTTAAGTCATTACATTTCTTGATAAGAGACTTGTTAATAATGCATGTTGTAAATAAACAGATAGTTAAGATTAATTGTTTAATGCAGCATCTTTTGCATCCATTCTTGTTTAAACAGTTCAGACTTGTGAAGAAGGGATCACTTACACTGAGCCAAGATTCTACAAAAGAAATGAACAATCGGTAAGATAGTTTAATCTCTGTATTTATGATGCCTTCACATATTAGTTAAAAATTGGACATGGTTTTCTCAGGTTAAAAATTTGAATGCTATGAGCTTGTAATCATGACTTCAGAAGCGGGACGGACATTTTGGATAATGCATTAGATATCATCAGTCTCGGTGTATATTCAGCCGTGAGTCACACATTTAGTTGTTTGAACGCTTGAGTTTTTGTCTGTTTAATTACATATCATTAATTACAGCACCATATTACAACTGCAGCATTCAATATGAATAGCAATTAAAAAAAACTGAATGAGATTAGGAATACTGTTAAGATTACTAGTGGTTAGTCTCACTACAAGACAGATGCCAAAAGAAATAAGTAATATTTTCAAAAAGGTTTAGTGTCAGGAGCAGACAAGGCCAAAATACCAAACGAAAACAAATATTAGTTTAACCTCTACAATTCCTAAAACAAAAATAGAGTAAACCAAATACAATGTCAACTTACCTATCTCCCGAAATCAAAAACAAAGTGAAAAGATAGATATAAAATGGTATCAAATCCCCCCGCCCCCTCCCTTAATCTAGCAAAAATATACACAAAAATATTTACAGGAGATAAATGTAAAAGTGTAAAATTTCAATTACAAACCCCAAATAATCATTCATAGCACAATCAATCTCTGATACGACACTCTACAAAACGACAATACAAAGCAATGAGAAGTGGTCACGATCAATTATGACACAATAGTGGCCCTGGTTGAATGTTTTGGGCGGTCCTTATATCTGGATCAGGTGTGGAGGAGAACCAATCGCAGCCTCCAACAAATAATCACCAGATACCGCCCACCGACAACACAAACAAGCACATGTATGCACATAGACAAAAAGGCCCCATTTACACTGCATGGTTCAAAGTGACACAAATCCAATTTTTTCCTCTCATGTGGCACAGATCGGATTTAAGCAGGAACATGTAAGCAGGAAAAAAACCGCATGAATTCCGATTTTCTCAGACTGGATTCAGGCCTCACTCACATGTGGTAATAAATCGGATATGAGCATTTGCGTGTGCCATGTAAGAAGACAAATCGGATATGTCCCAGTAAATGCAAGTCGTACGTCATTAAAAAAGTGATGTCAACTCAGATGGACAGCACCAACTGAGATCACATGACTTATTATAGGCACAATGGAGGACGAAGGATACACACAGTGGAGCAATGTGGAGGTTTCATGTCTCTTAAGTGTTTGGGGCGAAGAGTGCAGACAAAAATGCAGGGTTGTTACAAAAATAAATCCGTATTTGAAGACATTTCACGAGATATGGGGAGACACGGTTTTAAGCGCTCGTAGCTACAGTGCCAACAAGGGCTCTACTCTTTTTTTCTCGACTGTACGAGACTTTTATTTTGACGACTTTTCAAAATATTGTGGAAAGCAAAACACTGGATAATTTTATTCGCACTTTGTCAAAATATAGTCAAAAAAAATGGATTCAAGGCATCAAGACCTGCAGTGTAAATGCAGCCAATGAGCAAATGACTCATAACATCCCCACCCACAAAATAAAACACACAGTTTTGTTGATTGACACAGCACATTGACGCCACGTTTACACAAAGCCGTGGATTTAGAGAAATGAATATAGTCAATACAATTTTTTATGATCCCTTTCATCATCTTTAAGTTCTAACAGATTAGTGAGCATCTCATTAGACGATGATTAGCATTTGACATGCGCTGAAAATATAAGAGGGTATGGTCAGTGTAAACAGTAACAGACTGTGAACTCGAACCAGTGTAGACCTCAAAAATGAAACATGAAAAACATTGATTAGTAATATCAGCCTGGGCAGATAAGTGTGACAATTTTTTCGATAAGTTCAACAAAGTTTACCAGAATTTGGTCAACGAGCAGACAAGAAAAAGGCACTATTGATTTCCATATCATCACTTGCAGGTGAATATTCTGAGAAAGGCACTTTAACTGGTACAACACTAGCAACACGTATGTTGACCCTTATTAGCATCAGAATGTGGCACGGTAATTTTAACTTGACAAACTTTTGGCATCATTTTACGGTCAGTATGAAAATAAAGTTATTAACTCTGACAGTGATCTGAGGCGTCCAAAGACTCCATTTGTCCAGTGTATGAAAGGCTCCATTACTTTGTATCTTAAGTTACGGTCCCAAAGAAGCTGTTTTTGTAAAAATAGACAAACGATTGCGTCATAACACGCAACTCTCCATTGCACAGTAGAGAAGTTACCGTATAGACAGGAGGAGAAGCTCATCTCAATCTTTGTCAGGAGGCATAAAGTCAAGGAAGAATCCCATAGATAGAGTGTCCATTAAAGGCAACGGGACAAAATATTTCAATTCAGATTGGTCTTGGCACAGCTACTAGAAGACGTACAACTTTCAGAACGGTTGCTCACGTCACATCTCCGCCGTCAAGCTCAGTTCGAGCCTGCGCAGTCGCTCAGCTTCTATTGGGCTTCGATTCTCTCTGTTGAAGTCTGTGGGGTCACGTGTCCATTTCTTTAACTCTCTGTGGGAGACAGGAATCATGACAGACACAATGATGGACAAGTAACAATAATATTCACAATAACATATTGTTTTACTGAATAATTAAGTAAATCTAATTTCTATTCTATACTTTGAGGGTAGTACGCAAGTGACAAGCAGCTGTACCCCTAAAGGCACACATTTTGCATTTTATTTACCCTGACAGTGAATAATATTACTTAAAGGAGTAGTTCACGTTCAAAAAAACTTTTGCTGATAATTTACTCACCCCCATGTCATCCAAGATGAAAAGAAATTAAGGTTTTGATGAAAACATTCCAGGATTTTCTCCATATAATGGACTTCAATGGGGTCCAAACAGTTCAAGGTCCAAAAGACAGTTTTAGTGCAGCTTAAAAGGGCTTTAAACGACACCAGACGATGAATAAGGGTCTTATCAAGCGAAACGATTGCTCATTTAAAAAATAAATAAAAAAGTTTACGTTTTATAAGCTCAAATGGTCACCTTGCTCTGTTCTGTGATGCGCGTTCGTGACTCTCGCTCAAACTCGTTCATCAAAATGAACAAATCTTTTTTCGAGTCATGACTCGAAGGGTCCTAGATAAGATCCTTATTCATCGCCAGGTGTCGTTTAAAGCCCTTTAAAGCTGCACTGAAACTCTCTTTTGGACCTTGAACTGTTTGGTTCCCATTGAAGTCCATTATATGGAGGAAAAACCCTGGAATGTTTATCAAAAACCTTAATTTCTTTTCGACTAAAGAGAGAAAGACGTGGACATCTTGGATGCCATGGGGGTGAGTAAATTATCAGCAAGTTTTTTAAAAAGTGAACTACTCCTTTAATTCCAATATTTGATTTTAAAGAAGTTGATTATTTTTTAACATGAACAATTTTGCAACTATTGCATCACCAATGTAAAATGTTGGCCTTGAAGCAAAACCACTCTAATCTACATTATGTCACCTTATGTAGGATGTCACATTTCTAATTTAATAACTTTTATTGCATCTTGTGTGATGTGTTTTACAGAAAGTTGAAGAGGAGGATCACGTAGAGTATGTGCCTGTTACCATGACAAGATCATCAAACTTCAATCTTTAAGTACCAGATTGACACAAGACATGTTTGATCTGTTGAGTGGATGATCAGCTTGTGCGTCTCCTGCTAGTCGTTTGTGTTTGATGTCAGTTTGTTAGTGTGTTTAAGGTGTCCGTAATGTGCCTGTATAAATAGCATGTGGCTGAGGGTGTTTTTTTTTTCCATTCGTGCTCAGTTTTACTTCTGCTCTACATAAAACAACTTTCAACAGATTAACTCAAAGCAAACATTATATATATAGTGCAAGATATTACAGTGTACATATGACAAAAAAAATGTCATATATTTTGTGTATGAGAAATTAAGATATTTAAAGCGATTTGCATTGCTACAACATTGCTAATTTTCTTCTTGTGCAGTTTTTTTTTTGTATTCATAACCTGACACAGTTCAGTAATATCACATATGAGTGCTGTTTCCTGGATATCAGCACGATTTGAAATGTGATATTCATACACATACACTATTTTATGAATAGAAAGAAGTCTTAATGTGAAATAAGAATGTTTGTTATTTTAAAAATGTGTTTACTGTCACTTTTAATCAATCTAACCTGTCCTTGATGAATAAAAGAATAAATAAAACACCTGATGTTGCAGATTTCAATTCATCTGTAGCTCTTGATTTCTCTGTAATAAAACACAGATTCACACAAGGTAAAAGACATGAACAGGACTGATGATTCAGTTACACAGACACAGAAAGACTAACCATAGTGTGTTTCATAATGATTTACATATCACAAACTATTCTGTAATTTTGTTTTTGTTTGTTTGTTTTATAAAATGGCTGACAAAAATAAAACTACATATGTGATGAACATTTAATTTTGCAGTTGAATTCTCATCCAGTGTGAAATCTAAAAAAAATATATAAATAAAAAACTAAACCATACGTTAGATATGCTTTCAAATCGCACTGACATGTTCTGATAAAACTCTGGGGCCTATACCATGTAGCCGGTTTTGGTGGCTATGTTTAGTTTAGTTTACGTCGACCCTGTGTTTTAGGCACCATGAAAGTGGTTTGGATTTTAGGTTAAGTTACACTCCACGGCTAACCTGCTCCGGGGAAGGTTATGTTCCAGGTAAGAGGTTGCGAAACGAACTTGGACCAATCAGCTGTGAGCAAAGTGTCACATGTCTGACGCGATAAAGTCACTACACAGCAAATGATTTTAAAAGACAAAATCATGGCTTTTAGTAAATAAATTTGTATGATTTAGACATTATTTCTGTAATTATTATACCCTAAAACGATCTCAAATGTACAATTTCAGTTTATCAATTATTATTACGCAGATTTTAAATGAATACGTATATAAAGGTGATATAAATGCGCTTTAGAATCAATAAATGAAGCTATAAAGTGACTACATGTGAGCTTAAATGTTCAATTCTCTCTATACCTTTATCAACTGTATAAACTAACTTTTGCTTGCACTGATATACAGTAGCGAGACTTTCTTTTCATTGTCCCTTATTCACAGACAGCTATTTTCTTCTTGCTGTGTAAATTTGTTCAAATTCTTAATATTTTAATACTTTTATGTGAATTGCACTACTTCTCTCGCGAGTTTTGAATAAGTTTCACTCTTTCTCTGCATGTGATTGGCTGTTCGCTACTGATGTCACACCTAAACTCAGGATCAAAGCCTGAGTTGACAGAGAAAGTTGATGATCAGCATCATGGTACCAACTAAGCCTGGTTGGATTGGTTTGGTTTTGTCAACTCAAAACTAATCCTGTAACCCTGAGTTTGTTCAACTACCATCATAGTACAGGCCCCTGCACTCTAAATAAAGCTGCACTTTTTATTTTTATATTATTTAGTTTATTTGGGAGTGAAAGGGATAGTTCACCCAAACTGAAAAATCTGTCATCGTTTACTCATCCTCAAGTTGTTCCAAACAATGAGTTTATGAGTATTTTTCTTCTGCAGAAAAAAAGGTATTTTGAAGAATGTCAGTAACCAAAGTTAATGGCCCAAAACACAGAGTACCAACCCAAAGTCTCCAGTTCCTGTAGAAAGTTCCTAGCGATCCTTCCAGTATCAACAATGGATACTGGCATTCATCAAAATATCTTCTTTTGTGTCCAGCAGAAGAAAGAAACTCATTCTGGTTTGGAGTAACATGAGTGTGAGTAAATGATGAAATTAATTACTCCTATTTTGGCACTGCCTAGCTGAAGATCTGATTTACAGTGTACATTTGTTACAACCTGATCCTACCTAGGTCCTGAAACCATATTTTAAATACATTTTTATTTTATTTAATTATACAGTGCTAATATAAATATTTATTAATGCTACAGTAAATTTAGAGATTATTTTTGCACATTAAATCTCTTGATAATCTCTCTAAATCAGCTGTGTAATACTTACATTAGGTGGTACTGGTGCATGTCTGTTTCTGCGACGGTAAATCAGAGCAGCAATTACAGCAGCAGAAACCAGCAGAACAACACCAACAACTATTCCTGTTATTGCTCCCGAAGACAGACCTGAGTCTGTCATGATAAAGACATACAGTCATTATTATTAAATGTACAAAATATCGACCTGTATTTAAAAATTCTGAGATTACACTCACCAGTTACAGTAACACTGAATCTCCTGATGCTGCTAATGCGGGGTTGGCGACGGGGAACGTCGTTGCTGCTGTTGATCTGTAGTTTATATTCTCCTGTGTCTGTGTTTGTGGTGTTCATGATGGTCAGAGATCCAGTCTGATGATCCAGCTTCAGTCTGTCTCTGAATCTCTCTTTACACTGTTCATCGGTACAGATCTGACTCTGATCTCCAGTGATTTCAGCTAAACGAGTATCATTATAATACCACATCATCACATCATTTGGGTGTTTTATTACACCAGGATCTAAAGTGACAGATTTTCCTGACTTCACTGACTTGGTCTTTGTCTCTGCACCAGGAACATCTGAAACAAAAACCAACAGATGCTGGAAGTGTTTGTGTGTCCATTTACAACAACATATTGCATCAAATCCTCGATACAAGAATGTGATAAAAGATGGTATGTTGAAAAATTATCATTTCCACCAGAACACAAAACACATTCACTTTTAAATCAAACTGAACTGTTTATTAACTGAGATCATTCTATATATTCCACATTCAACACAAATGGGAACGTAAAGATGTGATTGATATTTATGAGGAAAAAAAATGATGGCATGGTTAAAACATAGAAAACCTGCTTTAAAATCACTCACCATAAACAGTAACATTGAAGATATTTTCTCTGATGTTGCTGCTGATGATCTGCAGTTTATATTCTCCAGATAGTTTGTTTGTGGTGTTTGTGATGGTCAGAGATCCAGTCTGATGATCCAGCTTCAGTCTGTCTCTGAAACTCTCAGTGCCTTTATTACACTGAACATCTGTACAGGACTTATTGAGATCTCCATTGATTCGAGCGATGCGAATGTTATTAAAATACCATCTAATGTCATCTTTCTGGTTTGTTTGAACACCAGTGTGTAGAGTGACTGAATCTCCCTCCAGCACTGACACTGACACTTCAGACACACCTGATGAAAAAGTAAACAGTTAATAATAAGCCAAATAAAATTATAAAACAGGAAAGTGTTGTGAAAATATGTATACGTTTTTTTTTGTTTGTTTTTTTTTTACTCATTGAAATTTCAAATTTCCGAGTATGAATATAATATAATATTATTTAAAAAACGCAGTGGTGGAATGTAACGAAGTACAAATACTTTGTTACTTTACTTAAGTAAATTTTTCACGTATCTTTACTTTACTTGCGTAGAATAAATAGTGCATACTTTTTACTTCGTTACATTTTGCAGCAATTATTATACTTTCTACTCCACTACATTTTCTACAACTTCTGTTACATTTTCTGATCAGTTTTTCCCCTGCCAAAACGTAATCTGATCGTCTGTTCGTTGCACGTTTGTCTCACCAGTGACGTTTGGTTGCATCAACTAAATCCGTCTAGCACGCAGTGTGTTTATCGTGCAATTTATAAGCGAAAATTAGTTTTTACGTGCATAGGAAACACATTGGTGACAAATTTTTTTCCCCATCATTATTGAACATCATTATAGGAGTATTAGGTTGAATGAGTTAGAATTAAATGTTTTATTAATCATTAAGAGAATCAATTATTATTATGCAAGTACTTTTACTTTTAATACTTAAAGTACATTTAAAATCAGGTACTTTTTACTTAAGTATGGTTGTCATTGTGTTACTTCTACTTTTACTAAACTTAAAGTAAATATTTATCTGGTTATTTGTACTTTTACTTAAGTACTGAGATTCAGTACTTCCTCCACCACTGAAAAAACGTCATAAAACGTGTTCCACTTTATTTAAACTCAAGTAAGGTACCTCTTTTTTATTTTTTTACAATTTTTTTTTCTGTTTTAGTCCTGCTGATGGAACAAATAACTTTTCTTTTTCATGTAGATATCGTTGACAAACAGAGAGATTGTAATATAAAAGTGTCCTACCATTCACACGTAAACACGAAAACAACAAGATCAAAATAAAGAGAGGATTCATTCTTACTAATTTCACAAAAATAATAATAGTAAAAAACTCCTGCAACTTGTTGATGTTATCCCTCCCGCTCGAATTCTTCTTCTTCGTTTGGTGTTTTATGGCGGTTGGCAAACCAACTTTCGGTGCATTACCGCCACCAACTGGACTGGAGTGTGAAGCGCTTAAAAATGAAAACATTAATCAAATTTAAAAAAAACTTCTTTACTTCAAATTCTCCTGTCTATTCCTATTTATTTGAGATACTTCATTATCGCACTATATATTTTTACTTGTTCTACTTGCTTTCCCAATAAACTTTCCATACTTAATACTCCCAAACCCAATTTCCTTACTATACTATCCTCTTACTAACCTTTCTTTTCCATATTTTCCACATTTAATTAAAAAATGTTCAATTGTTTCTGCCTGTCCACAATACATACATTTTCCTGTATCATGTTTTCCTATCTTTAACAAGAAATGATTTAAACGTGTGTGCCCTATTCTAACACGAGACAATCCTGCAGTTTGAATTTCTTCTTCTTCTTCTTCTTCTTCTTCTTCTTCTTCTTCTTCTTCTTCTTCTTCTTCTTCTTCTTCTTCTTCTTCTTCTTCTAGAGCTCTACAATTGAATTGTTACTAGTAAGAATAACAATTAGAGAGCTCTCTAATTCAATTAGAAAGAATTGTATTTTTAAATAGTAGTACTTTGATGTTAAGTTGTGTCATATTGAACAGGTGATTTTTGTTGAATGAACAAATGATCTAAGTTTTATGTATCCAAGCAATTGAGAAAAGGGTTAGAGTTTTTAAAATGTGCATTTTGATCATTGGTTGTGAGTTTTGTGTCTAGAGTTTTGAAAAATGACATCAAGGTTCTGAAAATAGTAACAAAGAGATTGTAAAAAACTGTAATAAAGTATCTATTATTTCGAGAGACAATAAAAGTTGGCTACTTGATGGTCAGGTTGATGTTCTGTCTGGCTCAAACTCAGCAAACTTAACCACATATGCACAGTTTAAAAATATAAAAATGTTTACAGTGACTTATTTTTACAAAATTATTCTGGCAAGCACAGCTGCCAAATTATTTTTGTAAAAAGAACAGGATTTTTTTGTATAAACAAACTTAAATAAACTCTGTATTTCTTACAGTAAATCCCTGTAAATTGTACAGGATTTTTTTTTACAGTGTGACTGTAATTTTTACAAAATTATTCTGGCAACTCAGCTGCCAAATTTTTTTTGTAAAAACGACGGATTTTTTAGGTTTAAAAGCTGCCCTAGTCTTCTCTTTATCTGCTCTGTCTCACTCACTTTTAAAATTCATTTAATTTTTATTTTTATCTTGTCTGACTTTACCTTGCGTGACATGGCATCTACTGGTAAGATGCAATTTACTCCTTGCATTTAAAAATAGCCTACTACACATGGTTTGCAACAACAGTGGATATTGGAAATGTGTTAATTACAGTTTATGATGTGTACACAAACACATTTATAATAGGCATGCATGTATGTATATATGTATTTGAATGAAAATCTCTCTAAGTAAAGATTCGAACTGCACACTCACTCTAATATTTTGTCTTATAACACATACAAACATAATGCATTATAAAGCCCACATTAAAAACTTTGGCCCATATGGTTTAAATGTATATTTTGGTTTAAGTTGTTTTTTTAAATTTTTTTTTTATAAATGAGACGATCTAATTTTATAATGTATATCATACAGTTTTCTTAAAATAGCTTACTGATCTGGACTAAAATGTATGTGCACTTAATGTGTGTTTTATCATACTCTGTCTTTAGTTCTTCTTTTTAACTTGTATCTCATTAAGGTGTGTGTCTGCTTTAGCTACTTAAGAAAATTAAAATCTCTGTCTCTAAACTTTTATAAGCACCCATCTTTTGAACCCCCAAAAAATTTCAACCATGACATTGAGCTATTATTTTATAACCATTGTTTCTACCACTATTCAACTTTAGCTTCTTTTGTAAATAAATAACCTTTTTTGTGAACAAAAATATTGTCTCTTTCTTTTAAATGGCCCTTGGAATTTTAGAAAAGGGTTAAATTGTGTTTGTCTTCATTAAATGTTATGTAAGACACAACTGTTCTAGCTGTATGATGACCAATTGTAAATATTTCAGCAGATATTTCATTAAGGATCCATTAAGTTGCATATCTCAAGGCTAAATATGGTACATAAATGGAACTTTATACTTCACAACAACATATATCAGTCAGTTTCCTGTATATAAAACAGTTTAAAATAATTACTTCTTCAGTAGGTCAAATATAATTACTTTGTCCATCTGATTCAACTATGTGTATTAGCCTAATATTTTCAAAAACAAATCTTTGGCTGAGTGAAGAGTGAAGCCCAACTGAACATCTGGATGTTTTAATCCTTATAGTGCAGATAAATCCACGGTCTATAACGTTTATTTAAATAAACAAATACATAAAAATATTTTTATATATAACGTTAATATAACATATATAACGTTTTACGTTATTTCGCCATATATCCTTCTCCCCCAACTGGACGCATCAGAAACAACAGGGGCTTAAAACTGTCAGGGGCGTACACGTCACAAACCCCGCCTCCCCATGTTCAACAGACGCTGGGAGTGCACTTGACGCTGACAACACACTTTCGTCTGTGTACTTTTTCAAATTAAAATGTAGCTAATCGGTCTCTGTCCTGAGATGTGTGTTTAGACTGCACATACGCATTGGCAGGTCTAGCCAGAAAAATAATCTTTTTAAAATGCTATTTAATCATAAGAAACAACATTTATGAGACAGAGCATGTCAGATTTTGTTGCTGATTTGAAATATGTTTTTTAAATGTGAGTGTGGCAAGTACTTTTTGAGATTTCAGAATTTTTCCCATTCAAGTAGATAGGACTTGGTAAAATGTTATAATGGTTTAATTGATCATATTCACTGTAACTATGTCCTGAAGTAACACAATAAAATACAATAAAAAAATAAATTAAAAAAACTGAAGCGTGTGTTTCTTGCCTTCTTTCTTTGCCAATACTTTTGGACGGACTGACATTATGCTAGTATTTCACATTGTGAAATTGTTTTATGCAGGGTGGATCATGCACTCAGATATACATTACACACAAAAGTTAAAGAAAAACATTAAAAAGCATAATATGACCACTTAAAGTCACTTAAACTTGGTATTTTTTTATAGAATTCTGATTGCTTGAATTTACACTCAGTTTGAAACATTGAGAAAATCTTGTAATGAAAATGTGTAGTTACAGCATTTTGCCTTTGGATGGCAGCAATGTTGCTGTTTGTGAGCATTGTTGTTAATTACTCCCCAAAAACTGATAAAAACTAAAGAAATTATGTGCATGATGATGAAACCATAAATAATAAAACAGTAATACAGTGCATTTATTATTAAATTGACTGACAAAAAATGACAGGATATATTTATAAAATATGAGGTCAAGAATAACTTCTAACTATGATGGAAATAGCTGACATTTAGTATACCATGAGATGTATGTCTTTGAACATATTCAACAGAGAGAATCTTTTATCTGTCAGACATCATTGGATTCAGTACTTTATTTCACAGTAAAGCTGCTTTAGTCTAGCGCAGAGGTTAAACTGTCAGCTTCAAATGAGCACACATGGAAAAAAAAGCCTTTCAACCACATGCTATTCATGAAGACGCTACTGACACCGCGTATGCGTACACACACATACATCAAGCACAAACATCCACAGACACGAGCTCATGCAGAAGCTGTTTGTCCGGCTAAAAGATGATCAAACCAGATGTAAATTAATGAATAAAATAAATTAGATAATGTATGGGCAATACATTAAATTTTAGGTTGTTTTTCACGAAACCCCATCATATACCCCCAGAACACTTATATGACACGTGACACACGGTATCATTCTGTGCTTTAGCGTCTTTTTTTTTTTTTTGCCGGCTATTTATTGCTATTATATGGACAAGTGTGAGTGAAATTCTCATTTTGTTGTCTATAAAGAAATAAGGACAAATGGCAATGGCATTAAAACAACACCAGTGATGAGAGAGTGGACAGAAGGATCTGAGGGTTCACCGTGTCGAAGGCAGTAAAGATCCAGCAGAACGAGGACGGATGTTTTGGAAGCAGCTTTTGCGATCCGCAGGGCTTCGGTGACCGACAGTACTGCGGTCTCGGTTGAATGCCCTTTTTTTGAAGCCAATGGGCTCTATGCACGGCGTTATTTCCGGTGAAGGATTAAGGATGCTCGATAACTTCCGCCGATCATAGAGTCCAATGCAATACCGAGAATTTATATTGAATTTTATAGTCCATGGTTATACTAAAGAAACGTTAGTCACAAAAACAGATAAAACAGACACCCCTCGTTGTGTTTATGCTTCTTTTTAAAATTATATTAAATAAACATAACTATATATAAAATTACATCTAAACGTATGTACGTTTCGTTTCAAAGACGGGAGGACAGTAAATATTGAAGACTCTGCCACAATCCCGTTTTCTCCGGTTTTCCTCCGCTTTAATCTACACAACCGGAAATGGACGAGCATCCTTACGTCAAATGCGGAATTTATGCGTGCATATAGCCTATTGATTTACATCCAGCTGGTTGGTCAGACACAGGAAAGATGATACTTGGTTGAAAGCAACTCGTGTTTTCGCAAAGAATGGTAGAGAGACAGGTCTGTAATTCTCTAAAAGTGAATAGCAGAAATAAAACTGCTAACTTCATGAGAAATGGAAAAACACCTTCAGCCACATGCTATTGACACAGACACCTTAAACTCAAACGTTCAGCACACACACTTTCTCATGCAGAGTCTAAGTCAAACCACATTTGAACAGAATGAAGCATGGTTCACTTTTACTTGTTCTCATGACTATTTTACATTTTTGGTTTGCACATATACATGGTCTCTAGAAAATTCATTGAAAATAGACTTTAATGGATGGACAAAAGCATACGAATATAGAAAATATCTTCATTTATGATCCGAAGATGAACAATGGTTTTATAGTTTTGGAATGACGTGTGAGTAAATGATTTTAGGCTCAACTATCCCAAGAATCAAACATAAAT